ATTTTGCCCATCTTCGAACTTAACCTTCTTATGGAGCCAAGAAATACGAGTACCAAGTTTCATCATGATATCTAAATTTTTACTCAAGTTACAGCTTGCACGGACGGACGGACAGACGGACATCCGGATTTCAACTCTACTCGTCACCCTGATCACTTTGGTATATATAACCCTATATCTGACTTTTTTAGTTTTAAGACTTACAAACAACCGTTATGTTAACAAAACTATAATACCCTCTTTAGCAACATTGTTGCGAGAGTATAAAAATAAGTATGCGTGAGCGACACGATCAAGGAAGAAATACATGTATAGATATATACATACATATACATACATATATAAGTATGTAAACTTGGTAAAGCATTTATCAAAATACCAAAACTTAATCGAGCATAAACTAAGGATGCCCGCAGAGTGGTCGCTTAAAGCCGAGCCCAACGCTTTCCTATTTACGTAACTCGCGAATTTAGGCTAGACTCCTACCCGAAGACTTGAATCTTTTAGGGTTTAAAAGTCGCAAAAGAGATACTTGAAAACTTGAGGATCCTGCATTCACCAAATATATCATTACTGGTGACGCGTTGAAACTGTCCAGTTTAATTTTTTTTTTCTTTTTGCAGCATGCGTTAAATTTGGTAAGTATACGGAATAAAATGGAAGCGGGAAAATATAGTGTCTATGAAAAAGAACGGACCATCTTCAGAAGATAGGAATCGAGCATTTTTTAAAAAAGAATTTTTCAGATATCAGTCGATTTCCTAACCTAGTGTTCTGAGCAGCCAACTTACACTTCAGCACACAACCACCATCCCATTGAAATTTAGGTTTCCAACGACCTTCAATTCATTTTTACCTTTTAGTATATGAGTATGTTTGGAATTTTCAAAATATTGCATACGATTTTCGATGGAAATTTAAATTTATTTTTTAAGGAGAGGTAAAATAACCGTTTTCACGATAGTGGGATTAAAGTAAAGGGAAAGGCCCCGGACTTTTATGCGGCCAAGAGTTTTCAAATCGGCACCATTTCTCATAATTACTTCAGGAATGGCAGGATATAGCAACAACATTATAATCATAATTTTGCTTTCAAAATTTCGAACAAAAATGGTTAAGGTAATATCAATCTCCAAATGAACAATGCTTGAGATTTTTCAGTCACACCTAGTACGTATCTATAGAGATATTTTCGAAATAGTATTACATATAGTTGTAAAGCAATTAATCTTAGAATAAGTGGGTGAAAATCATTGTGTGCGGAAACTCTCAAAGCACCTCAATTTGTATATACATATGTACATATTTACTAAATTTTCATTTTGTTAAGTGACGAAATCTATTTTAGAAATATGGATGACGAGAATAGACGACCATAATACAAATATGTACACATATGTACATATATCTGTGTACGCATACTCACACATATGTAGAGAAGAAAAGGTTGACAAATGAGATGTCTTGATGAGTTCAGCAGAGCTGATCTAATTTTGCTGCAGAATGCTGTGGAAATATGGCGTTTTCACGAAACGCAATCCCTTATATCCTACATGCTATAAGAAAACCTTCACTTCAAAGGGTATTACAGCTTCGATGCAGCCGAAGTTACCGTTTTTTATTGTTTTAATTTCGACACGGGTTAAAAAATCAACAAAAAACTAAAAAAGCAAACCTTAATTTATACATACATACATATACAAGAGAAAGTTCCATTAAGAAACCCTTAAAAATAAAATATTTTTCTACGCACATAGCCAGACATATACACAAGAATATCTCTCATTAAAAACAGTGAAAATATTAGTTTGATTGCTTTAAACATAAAATAGGTCACGACACGAATTGGACGCGGTAACTTGTTCCAAATATGTTAGTATATATATATGTATGTATGTACATACGCATATACATATGCAGAATTTTGTGTACCATTTGCTATATGGCTTATACTTCCGAGTACATACTTAGTATGTAGGTATGGATGTACTTACGTATCTGCTTGAACGTGAGCAAACAAATAACAGAAATAGTACTCGAGCACACAACGTAGATAAATTGTTATGTACATATGCATCTATGTACGTACGTCGAACGGTGGGTGTGTGTTGAAATTAGGTTAAGCACGTGGCAACGGTGAGAGTCGGAATCACATAGTAAAAATGAAAAGAAACGCCGCGGAATATGCAAAAATAATAATTGTATTGGCTGACGGGCAGGTGTGGCATTTGAGTGTGACGTCTACTGTTGCAAGCGATGACGTATTCATTATTTTGATATTACGGCACAGTTATCCTATGACGCACCTTACCATGTAGTACGCGATGGACGCTCATATTAATTGGAAGTGCGAATAGTATTTATGTATATCTTTATTGGTTCGTCAACAGTGTGAATCATGGTATAATATTTAGCTAAATGCACGTTTGTGTATTCAATTGTGTAGGGACAAATTTTATGGTTGTCAAGAAGATTTTTTTTGGTTTTTAATTTTAATTGTTGCTCAAGTTGCGGATTATCATGAGCAAAAACACCTGTTGTTTTGCTTTTCTAAGCATGATTGATTTACTAAAAATGAAAGTACATACATATGTATTTAGTGTAATAATATAATCAAATTTTCAATCATTCAAAATTTGTTTTCGACTGTCGTGGCAACGATTGGGGCTGTTTTTCATGGTGTTGTCAAGGACCTATTTTTTGGATAAAGAAAGCATGTTTTTCTTTCATGGTGTTGATTTTATGGGTTAGAAAGCACAATCACCAGATCTATAAATGGCAACAACCGTTGTAATTATAAGCGTAAAAGGCACTAATGCTACAGAAAATTCACGAATAAATTGCTAGGACTTGATAACTGGAAGGCACAACAGACGTAACATTAGACGTTAGATAACCGTTAAAATAACAAACGTAGATAGATAGATAATGTTATTGAGGTAATGCACCGCGACCTAGGGTCTATTGTGCAATCTTCTATATGACATGACCTCCCAGAGTCCCAGCAGGCTGAATAGCTCCAGGAGTTTGCCGGGCGCTAGTGAGGTGATGTGATCCCTGCTGATGTAGACAGAATCCAGGGCCTTGAGCCAACAACAGACGTAACACAACAAAACGGATTTTATCCGTCTCAGAGCTGTTATTTCCACTGTTTAACCCAGTTTAACTGGTAAATATTAGTAATATGTATTTCATTACCAGTATGCTAAATAATTTTTGAAAAAGAGACTTATAAATTATTATTTATTATCTTTATTTGATAACATAATAAAAGTACACATTTTGAGCAATTACATATGAGTGTGCCTAAACATTAACGTTACATACAATAATGTAACAGACCACTGTATTATCTAAGTGCCCCTCTTGAAATATTTTTTGTTAAGTGACATTGGCTTACTTGTGCAACTAATATCCGAATTGCAATGCAAAATTGCATTAAATATGTCAAGGTTACATGCATGTGCTCCACTTTTGCAACGCTTGGCATATAGTATGTAGAAGCCGACAACAACACCGCCCACCTACATAGAAGTGAACAATAGCCAAAAGCAGTCAACATTAAAACGAGCAAAACACTGACAAACCCGCCATACATACACCACTTCTACTAACGACAACAACAACAATGTACTGTACATATAAACATATGTTGATCATAGTTAGCACATACGAGTAGATAACCTACCAGACATTCACAAGTATACACACACACATATGCACATAGATACACAGATAAAGATAAAAACTAAATTCATTACAAAATTCTTAATATCACAATCAAAAAAAAAGTCAGCAATCGCCAATCTGTCCGAAATAAGATACATTTTGAACGTGAGTTTTAGGGATTTTAAACAGTTGGTTAGTGGGAAGCTTTCAGAATATTGCAAAATCGCTTGAAGAGTGAATAGAACGAGCCTTAACTGGTACTGCAACGATTTGTATTAAAGTTAACTTTCCGTCGGGGTATTACAATTGAAAATATATATGTACATACTTATGTATCGAAGTATTTTTTCAATGCCAATGAACACACACGCATCGATAAGAAATCTGTTAGAATGCTCCACAAACTTAAGTGTGTACGTAACATCGAATACGTTCAGACTTGCATATGCACGTACATAAATAACTACGTAAATGTAAGTACATACGGAGAAATACCGCACGTGCCATTGCGTGTTGAAACAGGTTAAAAAGAAAATTACATGAAAAAAGAAAAAAAAAAAAAATTTAATAAACAAAATACCGTCCGGAAAAGAAATTATTAATATTACTACACTACTACATAGTTGTAACTTTTTTTTTTTAAATTATGTTGATTGGTCTTTTTTTCAATCCCTGAACTTCAAAACTTTCCATAATTAGTAACACGTCACTTTTTAAAATAATGTAAATTAAAATTATACTCTAAATTTTTGTTTCAGTATATACTACGTGAATATACATATGTGATATAAATATATCTGTATATCTGTATGTACATAAGTTGATTCGTCGTATTTGCTGCATTGTCGTTTTTTAATTGCTACATAGACGTGATGACATTAAAATCGCCTTGTGCCACTTAAATACGCCAGCTGCGCGATGCTGACGGCCTATGCGCTTAATTTGCAGAAAATCAAGTGCAAAATTAAAACGAAATATAAAAAAATTCGAACAAATCCATAAATATCGTTAAGTTTTTATAAAAAGAGACGCACAATATATTGCTTAACTTATGTGTACAGCATTTTCACAAATGCTTAATTTTTTAACATATTTTAAATTTAATATATCAGCAAACACATCTAACATTTTAGATATCTACCCTCTACTTAATATAAAATTTGTAAATTACATAGTAAACTAAGTAATATACATATGTACGTAAAAATGTACTTACATTTGGTGTGGACCTGTGTAACATCTTCAATTTCACGTTGCATACGTTCTAATTCCGCATTGTTGTTACCGTTAGCGAGTTCGGCTTTGCGATTGCTTTCCCTATTTTTACTTGACACCTGACCACTGCTACTTGCACCATTGACGCTCATTTGTTGTTGTTGTTGCTGTTGGTGGTGTTGTTGTTCATATTTGTATTTGTTCTGAAGGTGCTGTTGTTGTGAATGGGAGGCAGTCAATTGACTATTACTGTTACAGCTACTACTGCCACTAACAATAAGTGTTGGCATTCCACTACTGGCGCCCCCGCCATTAGCTTTTCTATTAGCCTTGTCATCGTTATCGCTATCACTGCTGTCGGGCACTTCGATAGTCTCGGCCACTGGTAATGCATTCATCTTTGCAGTAAGTTGCACATAGTAATTATTTTTATTATTACTAATATTATTATTATTGTTGTTACTAGCTGTTGTCTTTTTATTTGACGTCGAGCTACTGACTTGTTGATGTTGCGATTGTTGTTGTTGTTGTTGAGGCATTTGAGGTTGTGCATAACGTTTGCTCCCATTGTTATTGTTATTGATGTAGTATTGGTTGCGTTGATCTTGTTTGTTATTAGTTGTAATTGCACCCTGTCTTGTGTACTTGCTTTGACTATGTACAGTCATATGAGCGCCAACTGGCTGCGTTGTGGAATTCGCAATACCCATGTTTACTTTCTGACGCTTGCTTCGTCCACCATTCATGTGATGCTCGGCAGAAGATTGGCGGTTACGCTTGCCACCACCACCACCACCACCAGTGAAATGTGTATCATCCGTACTCTGTTCATAAAAACCGCTTTCATGCTCAGCTTGTCGTCGTGTGCCCATCTTTTTAACAGTGGCACTGGCGGTTAAATTCAGGGCTTTGGTACTGCTACCACCCGTATTGTTGGTATAATAACGACTCATTGCGCCAAACACCTTGTAAAATATGCGGTTGTAATGTGTTTGTTTACTTGTATATTGGAAAGATTTTCAGTTTCTAAGTTTTAAGTAAATTGGTTTGAATTTATGGTTTAAAGTTTTTATGAATTTATTTTTTTCAATTGTGACATTTAATCGTGTTCAACTTTTTGACAATCGATGGTTATTTTCCGTATGGCAAGCTAGTCGCACTGAAAATATGTACATACATAAAATCTTCCACGATTGATTTACTTCACAACGAGCTTATAAATGTTGGGAAAATAAAGAGAATCATGTTTCAGTTTTCGATGAAAAAAAGATTTTTTGGTAATATTCAAAAGAAGAAAATACGGTGGGAGGGGTATTACGCTACCGCGTTGAAATATTTTTAATAGTTGCGGTCAACTTGACGCGTACTTTTGCGAGGCAAATACTGTATTAGTTGCCACTGATTTTATAAAAGTATTTGTTGTTGTTAGCGCTTTTGGAGTTGTTCCCATTTTTTCAAAACTTCCAGTAATCTGTAAAGAACAATTTAAATATAGTATAATGTGAGAAAATACTTCGATATTTGAAATTTATATACGTATGTACATCTGTTTTTATTGTTTATCATATTATTTAACAACTTTGTAAAACATTTAGCTTATTATACTGAATACTGTTGGAGTTTCTTAAATTAAATAAATATTTCAGCGTTCTAAATTACAAAAGTTTTATCAAATATATAAATATTTTATTTAATAGTGTTTGTCTGCTTGATAATCCGATTATTCGGTTTAAATGCCATACAAAAAGGTATCCAGAAGATTGTTTCCAATTGGGGAAGACGTGTCACTTTCTTGTCATTACGAACTCTCTTCACTACTTCTTTCGAAATTTTATCAACACAAAATACATATCCAAACATATATAGGATATAAAAGCACAACTGACAACTCCACCCACAGTGTAATTATCCAGCTGCTGTTATTAAAACTCACCTTTAATTATTTGCGAAGTTAATCCATACATTCATGCCCGCAGTATCAATATTTAGAATTTAGCAACGATACTTGCTTTTCTTGGCGCTTCTTACGATTTAACTTTATGTCCGGGGCACCGATTTCTCACAAAACTAAAGGCTATAAAATATAAATATTTATTTTCACGAAAAGTATATCTATTTTAATTATCTCAATAGTTTTAATTACAAGCTACACGCGCCTATTTTTCGCTTTGTCGCTTTTGTCAGATGGCAGCCGTTTGTAAACGAATTCACCACCTTACCACACACAAAGAAATTAACACCACGCCATTCCAACACATATGCAATATTTTCAAAGCATGGGAGACTTGTCAAAATGGTGATGACAGCGCAAAAGAGAAAAAAAAAATAGCAATAAAAATTAAAAAAATGAAAATTTCACTCTATATATTTTTCACTTCATAACTGCATTTCAGTTTAGCTTTTATCAGCCTAAAATATTTCACTTCTTGAACTTTAAATATTTCTTTTTTTAATATCTAAACCCTTCAAGGAATTTTAAAGCTTTAATTTTATCCAAGCCTTCGTTTATTTTCTTACACTCACTTGCATTATCTATGCACCAAATACGATTTCACCGAACACAAATTCCGACCTTTGCTCAGCAACAAATCTGGCAAACCATGTTTACGCACACGCGATAGAGCTTTTTCGTTAAAGAATATTAAATTGATCTATTTGTTAACAAATTTTCCCGATTTTCTTTAAAATTTACACCACGAAGATGTACGAACTAGACGACGTGACATCCACTCCGACACACTGCGTAGTTATTTTTAAAATGCCTAATATCTTTTCACCTCACATTCGCATACTTCTTCGTTGCACACCAACTTCGAATGTCAGCCGATGCACTGTCAACATATATTCTTTTTCAATGACATTTATCATGTCGTTCTCTATTTTGCTTCCGGTGAAAAATGTGATCAGCTGATTTTGACAATGAATTACAACAGTAAGCCCCAAAATAGTATATGTGTATGTTACAAATTTATTAACGTACAATTTAACTAATTTATAATAAAAAAATAATAATATTGAAATAATGTTAAAATATAGGTTGTATTAAAACTAAAAGCTATGAAAGTAAATTTAGTTACCTTATTAACGATATTTCTGTAGTTATTTTGTATTTGTAACACCATATTGTATTATAGTATTCCAAATTAAATTTTTAGTATTATGTAAATTAATAGCAAAAGCAACGAAACAAATTGTTTTTGTACTTTTCATAGTTATAATAATTTTCATTTACCTAATACTTTTTTGTATTCAATATTATTTAACGTATATCCATGTCAATTTGTTAGTAAATTTTTTCTATTCAATATTATTTAACATATATCTATGTAAATTTGTTAGTATATATGCATTATTTCTTCCAGAGCTTTTCGTTTCAAATCTGGCACGACACAGTCATCGGCGGCATACCCTACAGGTAGTAGCAAGAGCAGCTTTTCGTTTTCCGGTCTAGCAAGTAACCTACGCAGGGCAAGTCCGCAATTCAAGGGAGTGGTAACCAATGAATTCAAACCAGCCGCCTGCAATGCGCATAGTAAAATCCCTGTGGCTATTGCTACCGATATCTCATTGTAGTAATGTTGTTTACGCTCGCCATTTGGTAAAAAACCATATATTTGCTTGAAAACCAAAATTAAGTAAGGTGCATCCGTAAGATAAGGTTTAATGTGATTTGTACGTAATGGAGTCAAATCGGCCGTCCACTGCCGATGCATACGTTGTGCATAATTCATCTCTTCTTCTGTTTCGATTATCTCACGAACATGTTGTTTTATGTTCGGATCACTAATCACACAGAATGTCCATGGTTCGGTGTGTGCACCACTCGGAGCTGTACTAGCAGCGCGTATACATTCCTCGATCAATTCAAAGGGCGGAATTCGTTTAGCGCTATAGGAGCGTACACTTCGACGATTGTTAGCTAATTCATAGAATTGTTTTGGACCACCAGGAAGAGTCACTGTTGCCCCATTAAATATAACATGTTTATCTACTTTTAATGCTGGCACATAGCTGATGTTAGGAGTAGTGTCATTATGTGCCCTTTTATTCCCTTTGCTATTAAAATCAGCTGAAATTTTCAAATACATTTTTTGAGCGATTAATTTCATGATAAAAACATGTACATACCACACACATATTCTTCCCCATCCAACAATGTTTTCCTATGTTTACTAAATTTAAATATTTTCGTATACCTTTGCAATTTAGTTATATAGCGCACAAAATTTACTGAAGCTATTACTAGTAGCGCCGCCAAGGTAATTTTCCAATTTTTTACTAACCACGAGTTTAAAAACAACGAACTCAATTCCATTTTTCTAATTACTGTTCACTTGTCCAGTTAATTTCTATTCTAATTTCAAGTAATTCAGCCAACGCAACCTATTTTGCAAGCAGATTACTTGTTGACCTAAATACTTATGCGCTGTAGAGACAAATATATTTACATTTTGATAACATTGTTCAAGAGCGTTTATTTAAAAGTCATTACAAGATTATTTGCATACATATGCAAGCACTAAATAGAGAAACATATTAAAATTATGTATGCAAACATATACATGTACATATAAGCACCATACTTGGCTGCTGTATAGAAAAATTAATTACAATATATTTTATTGTGGTACAAAAATTCGTAAAAATCATTCACAAATTAAAGAAATTTATTTTTGTGATAAAATAAAACTAGTTATTGGCAAATATAATATAAAACATTAATTTAGGCGAAGAAATATAATCATTTCGCTATTTGGCATACCAACATATGTAACTTAATATTCTAAATCATACAAACAAAAAAATATAATTTTGTGTACATAAAGTTTTACGTAATTGTTATGCTTAAATTATTAACTTATTAATAATCTTAGTATCCCAATATTAGTATAATTTCTGTTTCTTTAATTTCTGCATATTAAACATTTTTATAAAGGCTTTTATCGATATGATTGAAACAACCGTCTGCACTTACTTAAAGTCAACCATTATTTTAACTTTTTTTGGTGAACTTCACGTAGGACATCCAAAATTTTCCATTTAGCTTSAAAGAAAATTTCATCTGAGACATCTTGAAGATCAATTTTTACCATTTCACACAAACTTTCCAATTGTTTCGTGTGATCCCATGTTCGTTTAGGTGTATTCTGATTTTTAACTGCATTGGTATCGTTGATGCAATTTGATGGTTGATGTGAGGAAGCCTATAATATTCGAAAAGAATATGAGTAAATTCAAATCTTCAAAAATAAGAAATATTTACCTTGGAAATTTGAGGTTTATCGGGTGTAAAAACAGAAAAAAACTGCGCGCAATCTTTTACATCCTCTTCAAGATCGTTATCAACTGTCACAGGGGCTTCATCTACTATGGTCGCTTCTTTAGGTTGCGGTGTGAAGCATTTATGACGGTTCAAGTTTGACGTTGAGTTGCCTTTATAGATGTATAGGCGAAAACATTTGCGGCAACATACAAAACCATCCAAAATGGTTCCATCCTCTTTTTTTATCTGCGCGAAAACATTCCAGGTTTTGCTTTTACCTTTACGTTTCTCTGACAGTTCATAAACACCATTCTCAATTTTCTGCAAAACACTATCTCGATAATCCATTGAAATGCGTTTGCCATCCTCAATTTTCTGCAAAACACTCTCTTGATCCATTGAAATAAGTACATATGTATATTGTTAGTTTTATACGTATATACGAGCACGCATATATTTTACAAATAAACTTAAATTGAATATAATTGAAGTTATTTACAACTTAGTTACTTGCACGAAATTTTATTACTGCCTAATATTTCACTTTTAAACTTCAAATCAATTAAACAAAACTATTGCGTACCTGTACTTGAGCTGGTACTACTCGCGTATAAGTTTTTACATTTGTTTACGTCGTGCACAACGATCATGAATCATATCGGTCAATATGAGTGCGATTTATCGATACATTTTCCTTTACAAATTATTACTTTTATATAAAGTAGATGTCTCATAGTTGCAATAATCTCGTTTTATAATTATAATCCTCCAAAAAATTGTAATGTTATTTATTTAGATAAAATTAAAATTAAAATGCTTTGGAAATCTTAAAATATCATGTCATAATTAATGTATGTGAGGAATAGTCGATTAAAACTCAGCGTTGAGTGTTGCTAATCAATGTGCGATACTTTTGGCTAAGATTATAATTTGATAGGCAGTTGTATTGAAGTCATAGCTCATGTATTTTTTATTATTCTACATAAAATTTTTATAAATATACAATATTTATAAAGTAATTTTTTACTTTAAATAAATCAAAAACAAATGGACATTGTTTCCACTTCGTACAGGGCAACATATACATTCCATATGCATGTACATATATGTTTGTAAGCAATCATTATAAGGTAAATTGTGCAAGCAGTGGCACCCGGAAATTGATTTTCTCAAATAAACTGCTAGCAAACACATTATAACATTTTATAAACAAATTTTTAATTATTTAAAATAGATAAAAACATTTATATTATATACTATGTAAGCGTAAGTATATATATTGCTGTCAATGAACTAGTAATTCTTTTTTATATATTAGAATTCACTCCTTATATATGTATATGTTCTTGTATATATATGTGCTAGTCAAAAGTATAGAACGGAAACTTTGCAAACCACTAACAAAGAATATATAAAACAAGGTGGGAGGTAAGCGGAGTGGGTCGGGATTACTGTAGCATATCCTATTGTTTTCAACGTCGTTGTGAAAGAGTACAAAAAGTCGTAATTGTTGTTGTTGTGGCTATTGACGTTGCCCGCGCTACTGTTTGTGCATTTATTAATTGAGAGGCATATTTACATATACACATATGTATGTGGATGCATGCACAGTTGTTCAAAGCATTATATGTCACATTACATGTTAGTAGTACACACTTTCATATGTGCTTTGGCATAGACAAACGGTTGGTGATCCAATGAGTGCGTTCTTGCCGATTTTCCTTTTCCATTAATTTTAGTGTATGGTGGGAACAACTGCAGTTTATTTCTAGTCTCTACAGGAATTAAGTTAAAGAAAATGTGCAAATGGTAGATATAAAAATATCTTACTAATTCAAGGTTTTTTATAGTGAAAATCAATGTCAAGTGTGCAACCAAATTTTTGCAATATGCCTACAAATGTTTGTGAGCAACTTTGCATCAGCTAAATGCATAATTTGTTGTACTGCTGATGGTACTGTTTCTTAAGCCTGCGTATCGACCGGATATAGAAAGCGTAAACTTTGAATATTTTTAATGCCTTAATTTCCACAAAATATATATGTTATAAAAATAATACATTAGCTAACAAAGAAATCACAGATAAAAATCTGCACCAGGTTTGATCGGATTGAATTCTCCGGACCATAAAGTCAGTGGGTAATTTTCAACTATTCTTAAAATATTTGTGTTCATATAATACTATAATGACAATGGTTTAATCTGCAATAACAAAATAATTATATTAGCAAAATGATTGATCAGTAGATTCGAGCAATTCATATTTATCAGATTAGCAGAAGCATTTAATTGAAACACGACTACGGCATACCTACATATATAATGGTGATAAAAGCAACAAATGTGCTGCAAATAATTATCACCATGTCAATTCATAAATAGAGATATAGACACATGCATATGTGAAAAAAAATTCGACTCTTTGGTAAATTACAAATACAAGTAGGCAAACATTGATTTATAAGTCAATAAATCACAATTTAAAATGAAAATTGTAGGTGGTTCTAACAAAATAT